TATATATATAACCTTGTCAAAAACTTATGCAATTTACTCCGCACTTAATGGAAACGTGAAGTATATCAATTAAATGGAGAGCAAAATTAATCAGTTCTATGCTTTGAAAGCAAGTAGGAAAATGTCTAGAAAGCTAATTGGAGACACCGTCCCACTACTCGCTGGAGAATTTCGTGAACCGCTAACGCTACGTATCCCAGAATTGACACGAACTTCATGGAAGTAGATAAAGAGCGCTTCTCGTAGACATGTGTTAAATTGGCCAAGAGTTAGTTCTAAACGATTAAAACTTTACAAATTGAAGTTTTAAGCAATTAGTCAAGAGGACAAGCAATTACTGTAGGGTCTAAAAATGTTCAGTTTACCAAATTGCCGAAGAATGGACAAGTATTGATTCTCCTACTACAGTAGTGATAGTGAAATAGTTTCGTTTAATGCTTTGAAGTATACGAACAGCATTTTTACGCCAAATCAAGGAGAGAAATAAAATTGTTGATAACATTTGTTATTTAGTTCGTTGGTCATCTCTAAGATAGTTCTCACTTTCTTCCATCTTTGTCTTTAGACAAAAAACTTGCGAGACTTTCGCCTGGGTGACTTTCTCTCTCGCAGCGATTTGCAACGGACAGGTCCTAGCAGGAGAGCCGGTTTCCTACCCGCTTCCCTCATCTCTGCATGATTCTGTAGTACCAATCAATATTTACATGAAAGCTGCTTCGTCAATAAAAATGTTCTTTGAACAGTTGAAGATGAGTGAATTTCATCATAGAGTAATAATAAAAATGGCTATTAAGATGACTGTATTTCTAGAAAATACCTCCGAAAATAACTGCGGAATTTTTTGGAACGGTTAATATTAAGCAATTAATGTTCAGATATAAATTATTTCGTAACCTCTAAACATGAGTGTTTCTCTGAGTTACGTTTTAGGGGGTTTATTTTATATTATTAATAATTACTACATTCACAAGTATTTAAATTGTTTTAAATTATTTATTGACAAATACCAGCTAGTGCTAGATTTTGCAACTTTGCTACTTTCTAATATTTTCCTACATTTATAGTTTTCCACATTTTCTACATTTCCACATTTATAGTTAATAGTCCATAACATAGTATTTCATAAATTAAACAATTAAAATCACTAACTTAATGGACAATTTAATTATTAACTTGTAGGCGGTCAATATAAAGCTATTCGCTTTAAGTTGATTTGTTTCTTTGTATTGCGAGAACGAAGAGCGTATGAAATGTCTTCTATAATGAAATTTCGTATACATAGCATCACAGCTGAAATTTCGCCTAAATAGCTGTGAAGTCACAGTCTGCATTGCAGTAGGTCAGAATTCGCCTCCCGGGCAAGACGGACCGAAGCCCCACCCCATGCCTTATCAGCGAAATACACAGTTTCTTTGGGGAATGTGTAAACAGTTGAGCAACGAGTTGCGCGTCCGCGCCGTCATGCCTGCACCCGTGACATCACCACCACGCGATTGCTTCTGTTTATTGTTGAAGTTTATTCTCTGACTGCTCGCATTTGTTAATGCTTGTTTAATAACGATACCCTGTCGGCGACGACAACTCAGACGAAAATATAACGCTCGTAGCCCAATTCAATACAGAAGAAGTGTCGCATTACGTTGATAGTTTCCACGCTCAATTGAACGAGAATTTCTTTTTCAGTTCTTTCTTACTATTAATGCGTATTGTGAAAGAGAATATATTTATCGCTAATAAGTATTTTTGAAAAGTTCAAAAGGTTTCGGAAGGAAGCAGGCAAATTGATCTAGACTGTTGTTCCTCAAGAGTTTTTCAAAAGGTGTCCATAAATGGAAATCGGTGGCAATTATGTATGTTTTTACGCGTCCATACCTGAAACTTCATTGACTGGGCGAAAATATGACACGAACACTAACGGTCGCAAATTTTCGGCATCAGCTACATTGGTCAAACGGTATGTATACAATGATGAGCATTCTACAGGGAGGCTGCACTCATAAAATGTTTCTGTTGTTTACTTTGAACATAACCAGTAACGGAGCACTAATTTGATTCTTTTAATTTTATTTTACCAAATAACGGGAACAAACTAATAACGTGGGCGAGAAATATAATCTGCGCACGTTTTCTTGAGCCCCAGAATTTCTGAGAAAATGTCCTTTTTCAAGTACGACGGCGGCAGAATTTTCGACACTAGCTTGACAGTTAGACCGAATTCAACCGCTGTCTGGACGAAAGTTCGAGCAGCCAGCAGCTCTGATCGGTAGTTTCCGTTCCTCCTATCAACAACAGACGACACCCGGTGCAATACCCTAACAAATGGCCACGGACCGCGCGCGACCTTTTCTTCCTCGTCCTTGACCTATTCTCTTCCCTTACATACACACACTTACACTCACATGCACTACACTACCATCCTTCTAGGGAGATTGGAGCTTGTCCCGGCTGAGGAGGTGCCACGCTGGTGGGAGATTCCTGGTTGAGGAAAAACCCTGCACGCCGACATATATCGGTGCCGGATCTCGCCAGCCAGCGTAAGACTATCCACCACTCCCCGCGATAAAAACGCGCACCACACGTGAACGTAGGGTAATGACCTTAGCATTTAATGAGCCCGGAATCACTAATCAACCAATCAATGAATTGAGCTCCAGAATCTCTTCCTTAACTTTTAACCATAAATAGTTGAATGATAAAGAAAAGTTCCAATTAAACAAAGTTAGTAACATTTGAAAAAAAGACATTTTTGCTTTCCAGTTACAGAAGCATTATTTGCATTGGTAAACGAATTATTAATTTGCTTTCTTAGTATTGCTAACAGAATAGTAACCCGTATACTGGCTTTACTCTTACCATAACTAGCAAAAGGAGAGCTCAACAAAACGTTCAAATAGGGAAGCTTCTATCTTGATATATCGCCTACGCGCGCGATCTTTTTTTCCATACCCTGACAGCTTTCCCATTCCTAGAGCTGAGTTCATAAATTATCACGCTCATCTTGATCTAGAAAATTTTTGATCTAGATTAATGATCTAGATTGATGACATCTTGAGCTAGAAAATTTTCGACTGTCATTGTAGATACTCGATGAGTGACAGTTGTGAGATCCCGCATGAAAATAAGTGATGTAGAGTGATATATGAGAATTTAAAGCAGAAAAATGTAAAGTTACAAAATGAAATTGCTAAATGCAAATTGGGTCAGTCACGCAGGGATCTTCATTGTCACTGCTTTTTACTAGAAATTTATAACCTAAGAAACAATTCCCCATCCCATTTTCTTCGTCAGGGACTATGCGTGGGTTTGGAAATGAAATTTTTGTTTATTTTAGTTCTGCCCCTCCTATGCACATGAGTGTAGTTACAGTGACATTTCAGGAAACGTATAGAGTGAACATATCATGGTCTTATCGGAATTCCTTGCTTCTAGTGAATAACGAACGTTAGGACGATGAACGTGTTGTCCTTGTTTAAATTCCAATGTTCTGCGCCTATATTTGACTCTTCAGAAGATGACACGACTTGCATGTGTCAGACGTGGAAAAATTCCATTTATGATAATTTAATAATAAACAAGTTATCCTCCTGCTTTCAATGGCAAAGGATCCCCCTTATATAAAATTGAAATTAAGGGCCCTTAAATCTTCCTAGAATAGCTACAATAAAATATTGAGATATCAGCTTTTAAATTAACTTTCTTCCGATGACTTTTAATTTATCAAACATTTCTTCATCTACGTTTTCTTTAAAAATTCTGTAGAACAACTTTCGTCCGTTCCAACGCAATTAATACAACGTGGGGTCTCCTTTTTTTCTCGTCATACTTCGTAAGAAGAAAAAGTATTGTCATCGTGCTCCGGAAAACGGCGATTTTTCGCCAGAAAATTCTAAACGCTGGGCACTAGTAACAAAAAAGTTGATAAAATCGTGTTCCTATAAGTAGTTAATAATTTCCACTGACACTCTGTGAAATCAGAATTGATGTTTTGTGGGTCCTTCTTACCGAACTAGCGGTGCAAAAACAGCACATACTTTCTAACATTGTTTATATCGGCTCCGCAATAGTAGACTACTACGTAAACCTGCAAAAGGGTTTCAACCATAAAAAAAATCGCATCGAGACTCGCACTCAGGTCGATAGAGATAACTCGTCGTGCGCTCTACCGCTACATCACGCAGTCGCTCTGACGCACTCACTTGGGCCGATTGCCTTCCCCGTTATTTTCAACATAGTTTTCGAATATTCAGAGAGTTTAACTAAAATGAAATCTGCACCATTCGTACTTGTGAACCTTGTTTTACCCTTGGAAAAAACAGTAAGGAAAAAATTTATAGCGGTGTTTGAAAAAATGTTTTTTTTAAATAAATTTTATTAATCTCAAGTAAATTTCGAAAAACTGTTCGTTTATTCAGAAACTTGTGCATGGCCATTTTTAAAGAGCTAATATTTTAGAAGAGATTTTGTTTAAGGCTAAATGTTCCGACTCTAGTACAATTTGTAGCCACCACGAGGCAGCACCAAATTAAGTAAAATTTACTTTACCGATAACGTCTGAACCAATGGTCCGATTTTCGGTTTGTACACGG